ACAGGTGAGTGGTGATCGTGAGAAGGAACCTGCCTTGCCTCAAGAGGGGGTCCTGGGAGCTCTGTGGAGGGACCAGAGCCATGCCTGGGGTGGTTTCCATGTCTTTAAACCCCACCTGTGTGAGATAGAAGGCTGGGGAGCCGTACAGTTCTGGATTCCAACTGTGTAACCTCAGACAGGTCACTGCCCTTATCTGATCCTCATTTCCTCATCTGAAAAATGAGTTTAATACTCACACCCACCTGGCAAGAATTCTGAGAGTATGAGATAGGAAGCAGTACTACAGCATGTATGGTGGCACATACCTGTAATCCGAGTACTCTGGGAGGCTGAGGCAAGAGGACTGCAAGTTTGAGCTCAGCCTGGGCAACTTAGTGACTTAGTAAGACACTGCCTCAATTTTTTTTCAAAAAAAAAAAAAAGGGTCTGTGGATGGAGCTAATGTGAAGGCCCTGGGTTCAATCCCCAACACCACGAAGAAAAAGAAGAAGAAGAAAAAGAAAAGGAAGAGAGGAGCTGTTGCATGGTGTATAAGAATACTGGAGCTCAACCACCTGTGCTCCTTTTAGCTCCTTCACAGTTCTGTCACTTATTCTTTAAGTGAATATATATATATATATATATATATATATATATATATATATATATATATGGAGTGTGCAAGGCTGGATCTGCTGTGTTCCTCTTAACCCTTCTATATATATGTTATCCAACCTTTCTTGGCCTCAGTTTTCTCATCTGTAAAATGGAGTTAATAATAATCTCTACATTAAAATCTTTACATGAAAGCAGAGTGAACTACCTCACGGAAGTTGCTTAGAAGAGTGCCTGGCACACAATAAGTACAGTAGAAAAAGCCATTATTACATAGGGTGGTACCTGGTACACAGGAAGGCTGAGGCTCACCCAGTACCCATAAAGCTTCTTCACTATGTTCCAAGCTTTTATTTTCCTCCCAGCAAATTCAGAGGCCACGGTAGGTAGGGGTGAGATGGAGTGTGCAAGGCTGGATCTGCTGTGTTCCTCTTAACCCTTCTATCATATACGAGGGGAACACCCATCCTTCTTCAAAGCCCCCTCTCCTACCATCCATGTCTTCAACCAATGGTCTGGCCTGCCCTGATCCCTCTGTTCTCTCCCACTCAGCACCTTTGCTGCTAGTTTTGTCCTGAGCATCATCTTTATAGCATGATGGGACCTGCAACCCTGTCTGTCTGTCTGTCTGTCTGTCTGTCTGTCTGTCTGCCCACAGACGGGGCTCTGCAAGCACCAAGAGCATGATGTTTGCTTGACCTGGTAGCCATTCCTGTGCTAAGTACATAGCCAAGAAATGCTTGTAGATGACAAAGATCCCATTCTTGCCCCAGATGTAGACAGAGAAGCAAGACTCCTCTAATTCTTATTAAACTCAATGTTATCATTTCTCCTATACAAGCATGATGCTCACAACAGGGTGGGAAAATGAGATAAATGTTTTTCCCTCTTGGTAGAAAGGAGAGACCCCATGGGAAAAGAATCGGAGACCCCAAAGAGACAGACTTTCCCAGAGCCTCTTCCCGAGTCCTCCCTTCTCTCTTATTCCCTCTCAGTGGCTTCAACCCCTGCAGGGAGCATGCTGACACCCACCACCTGGCCCTGGCAGGGAGACAGCAACCAGGCGGTAGACCACACAGTGCTCTGGCTGTCAAAAACACCAGGGCAGTCTCTCTCGTTGCTCTCTCAAAATGTGAGACAGCTTTGTAGGGTATGGGTGGGGGCAGAGGATGGAGAGTTACCACCACAGCAGCTTTAGCCCACCACCACCTGCAGCAGAGCCAGATCCAAGGCTGTACAGTAAGCGTGGGGAATGCAGCTCTCTTCAGCGAGGGGCACACGTCAGTGGCCCCTAGGACACATAAATCATTCCAGACACTGAAACTGCAGGGCGCCAAGCCAAGCTCAACAATGGAAGTGGAGCGTTTTCTCTAATCATAGGGATGGTCACCATCCAGGTAAAAATGAACAAACAAACAAGCAAGCAAGCAAACAAACAAACTCCAAGCACTGGTTAGGACCAACAACTACTAAGACAAAATCCTCCTGTACAGAGGACCATGGGGAGGTAGGGACTTATCTTGCTCTATGCCGCACTAGGAAGGCCACACCCAGAGCACAGCAGAAGGGATACTGGCATCCTGGAACTTGGCCAAAAGAGACAGTGTGGGAGGATGTGGGAGTCCCTGGAGCTGACAGGGATGGGGCCCAGTGTGACAGCTGATGTCCTAGGCAGGGAAGGGGAAGTTCACAGTACTGAGAGTCTGTCCTATTGGTACCATGACTCTGGTACGCTTCCTTTCTCAAATCCCCCAGTTTCCTCTGCTGTCATGCGTGGATCATGGTGACAGGTCCACAGGGTAGGAGTGTTAGAAGGGCTAAAGGAAGTCGTTAGGCAGAGTGGGCCCCCAGCCATTTCCTGGGGGCCCAGGCCCCACTCGCTCCTCTTCATCCACCAGAGGGAGCTCGGGGACCAGGAGCCTAGCCTGTACCACTTCTGCCTGTCCTCCCCCAATGCTGCATGCAGCCTCTGCTGCTGAACTCCCACCCTGCCTACCTGGCTTTGGCAGCCTTCTCTCCCACTCCTTACAAATCCAGAATAGGCCTAGCAAGGGAGTCACTTGCAGGAGCAACAGTGGCAGCAATGGTTCTGGCAATACAAGAGTCTCCCGACACCTAGCAAGGAAGAAAGTGGAAAAGAGGTCCCTTCATCTCGGAGCCTCAGTTTCCCTATCTCTAACAATGGAGTTGCTAGCGTTCACAGCACAGGGTTTGTTGGGAGGACCAAAAAAGATAATAAGGGACATACAAATAGTATATGGTGAGAAATTCAAAGAATTACCTACACACATGTATTAATATCGTAGGAAATGTGAGGCAAGAAAGTCCAACAAGCAACTGGAAGGTACACAAAAAGAAGGAAGGATGAAGAGGTAGGCCCGCAAGGTTAGTAGGAGAGCAAATGGGCTTCTAGCCAGCCAAGACAGTCGGATCCATGTCTGCAGGACGGACAATCTGAGGCCAATAGTATCCTGGAATTGAGGAAGACCCAGGTCATTTCACTGATGGCAATCAGGGTTTTATACTTGAATCTGACATGATGCTATCTCTAGCTGTCCCCCACTCCTACCTGGCCTCTGCTGGACACCTCCAACCAGCTTATCTACCTACCACAGCCTACCACTTCTGCTACCAGCCCCAACCCCTTGAAATATTCTCCTGCATCACTGAGGGCCTGGTTGTAAAGTTCTTCCTGATTTTATCTCAAATGTTCCTGAAGTTTCAGGTTCTGCTCCCTAGAGCCATGTCTAGTAAGGCTACCCCCTCTGTTCTAGGTCTGCCCCTCTAGAAAAGTCTTTAGCAGTCAGGCTGGAGGAATACAATACCCTATCCAGTCTTCCTCTGCCCCCACCTGATCATGGCCCTCTTCTAAATAGATCCCGATCTCCCTGCATTCTTGTGACACACCAAGGTACACATGGTCAGTCCTCTGAGACTGCAACCCCAGCAGCTCTATCTGGGCAGGTGAGCCTATTCCTGGAACCCCCAGTCTACAATGGGGCAGTCCACACCAAGACTCAGAGAAAGGTGCACTGCAGCAGAGCCCAGCTGAGCCCTCGAGCTGCAGCTGCTCCTCCTGGGGCCCAGCCATCTCAACCCAGCACCCCAGCCTGCTGCCTCACCACGGGGGAGTTGCAGAGAACTATCTCCCGGCAGATTTCCTGAGGCAGAAGGCTTCCCCACCCCCAGCCCAGCCTCCAAGAGACACTCCACTGGTTGTGGCACATGGTAAGACCAGCTGAGCACTGAGAGAGGGGGAAGCCTGTCCATTCGCTGGAAGACTTTAGACTTGCTTCGTAGTGTGGCTAGGTTAGCCACAGACAGAACTGTCAAATCTAAACCAGAGGGGTCCTTAAAGACCACCCAAGATAGACCTTGCCTTTAAAACAGATAGACGGGAACTAATGGACTGAGAGTGGAAGGGACTCAGTCAAGGTCACAAAGCCAATCTGCAGCAAAGCTGAAAGGGGAACCCAGGTTTCCTAACTTCCAGTTCTGTGTTCTTTCCATTACAACAGAAATGCAATAAGGGAGCCTTTAAGGCATTCTTGTGAGCCTGCACACCCTTGGCTCTCTCAAGCTGATACATTTAATCCAATCAACACACAAGGGATCTACATGGAAAAAGTGGACCCAGTGTATATCCCACCGACCCAGGAGATACTGCCAAGGTGCCCCAAATAGACAGACACATGGATCCCAGTACAGGAGCTGGAACCAATACAGCAGAGAGGAGATCTGTAGACTTCCCTTCCTGGCAGGGCTCTTTAAATGGGTGCTGTTCTTTTTGAAAGGTGGAAAGAGAGTGGACTTTGAGGAACTAGCCAAGGGCCTGGCTTCCATCTTTGCCCCCCCATCCCTGGCCAGGATGTGCTGCAGTTCCCCTCAGAAGAATGTCTCAGTCTCCAGCAGCCATTCTGGTTCCCACCTGCCTCCCGGGAGGAGGATGGAGCACAGGCTGTCTGAGGAGACAAGATCAAGTAAAAGGGGAGGGGTCTCCCTTTGGGCTCTTAGTGGACACCTTCCTGACAATAAAATCCTAAGCAGCACAACCTAAATAAATAAATAAATAAATACCCATCTTCTGGCAAGAGTACAGATAAGGGTTGAAGGTGTGTGTGTGTGTGTGTGTGTGTGTGTGTGTGTGTGTGTGTGTGTTGGGGATGATGACTGTTTTAGTATTTCACTGGCCGAAGTACTGGGAGAAAAAGGGATGTCTGCATTTACATGGCCAACCCAGTGTGCACTGGCTATAGAACGTGTGTCAGCTGGATGCGGGGGACCTGGCTTTCCTGGTTGGGACAGGCGAGGAGGACACGGAATCAAGCACTGGCTTCCTACTTCATCAACAGGACAACTTGGAGAGGCATCTAGAGGGGGAGGGGGTGGACAGGCGCGTTCCTTACTTTCTCTGGAGGGTTGTAGCCGGGCTGGTGCTGGTGCTGGTGCTGTGGCCTCCACCAGCGCCGGGGCTGGAGCTCCTGGACGCGCCGCGGCTCAGCTGGCCCCGCTCCCGAGGTGGCCGCGGCCCCACGCCCACCGCCGCGGAATAGCCGGCTTCCTTCTCACGTCCTGGGTGCACTGGCCCAGCCTCCCGCCCGCTGCGCTCGCGACCCAGGGCTGGGTTCTCGTGGTGCAGATGGCACGGGGCCACGTCGCGCTCACGGGCTGTGTAACCGGTAGTGTCCTGGAGTGGATAGGAGGCGTCCCTCTCCTTGTCCCGATACACAGCCTCCCGGTTCTGGTAGGCGCTGTCCCGGTTCGGGTACCCCACGTCCCGGGCCGCCTGGTGGAACTGGCTCTCCCGCAGCTCGCGGTGGTGGAACTGGGTCTCGCGCAGGTTCTGGTACTGGCTCTCGCGGCCTGGACCGTCCCGCGCGCCGTGGGGGTCCCGGTGCAGCTCCCCGCGGTGCAGCTGGCTCTCCTCCCGCAGGTCGCGGTTCTCCTGGGTGAGCTGGTCCAGCTGGCCTTCCAGCTCCTCGATGCGCCGCCGCTGGGTCTCCAGCAGCTGCTGCTGGCTCTCGATGATGTTGTTCAGCTCCAGCAGGTACTCCACCGCCCTGTTGGGGCTCTCAGATCCAGGGCCACCCGGGGGCCCGGACCCCGCCTCCATTCTGGCGGCCCAGGGACAGGGGAAGGGGCAGGAGAGCCCAGTCCCAGCTCGCTCACGGCGCCACCCTCCCCCGGGCCCAGCCGGGGGAGGGGGCCGGCGGGACGCGAGGGCGCGCACCGGGCTTGAGGGCCCGGGGGCCCGGGGGGGCCCGGGAGACAGCGCTGGGGCCGGCGGCACGGGGAGCAGGAGCTGAGGCTGCCGCTGCCGCTGCCGCTGCCGCCACCGCCACTGCTCGGAAGGACGCGGCCCACGGCGCTCCGCCCGCTGCGGAGTCACTGCGCAGCGCTGCCGCGCGGGACCGCCCCGGTCGCCGGCCCGCCCCCCGCCCCTGCCCCCACTCCGCTCGCCTGGCCAGCCCCCGCGCTCCCCACCTGAGCTGGCCACCCGCACTGGCAGCTGGATGAACCCCGAGGTACAGATGCCTGGCCAGGAACAGCCCTGTTGCAACCTTCTTGAGATCTTGCCATTCCACCCGTTCCAGGATCCTCACCTAACGCAACCTATCAGAACTCCTTCTCCAGAGCTCCACGTCCCTCCAGTCCACCAGGCCCAAAATCTTCATCCAAGCCGTCTCAGGAACACCCACCCCAGACCTTCCCAGGTCCAGGCAACCGGCATACTCCCTGTGCTCTAGGTCTGTCAGCTGCAGCCAGTGTCATAGTACTCATTCCAGCCAACCCTTGAACCTTTATCTCAGGCGACCTCCCTCCAGCCCCCATCACAGGAAATCCCTGGACTCCCATTCTAACCAGTCACTGGGCCTTCCCCCATCCCAGCTACCCGTGTCCCTCCAGTCTGAAGTCCAACCCCATCCTGGCACGTTTTGGAACTCCACACCCCCCCCCCCAACATACACAGTATCACAGGTATCCACCACTCTAGCCAGTACCTAAATTCTCCATCTTTCAAGCCAGTGCCCAAATTCCTATCTCACCCAAGTCCAGATTTTCCATCTTTGCCAGTCCATGCATCCTCTAACCAAGGCAGTCCAGGGTCTCCCATCTCAACAAACCTGGGACTCCCTGTCACAGCCAGACTTGAGATCTGAGCTCCATTCTTTCAACTCATTTCCTGCTCTCTTTCCTCCTCTGGCTTCTTTCACACCACCATTTCCATTCAATGAAACTGTACCCATGAGTTCAATTCCCAGTTCCGCAAAAAAAAAAAAAAAAAAAAAAAAAAAAAAAAAAAAAAAAAAAAAAGAAAGAAAAGAAAAGAAACTGTACCCGTCTTTCGAGACTTAAATCAAAGCCACCTTACCAACACCAACCCTGATTTCCTTAGTGAAATGCGCTCATTCTTACGCAGACTTCTTGCCCCCCTTGACCTGCCTTGACGCACCTCCTCTGCCCTGTCTCTCATGATATTTGAAGGACAAATGGAATTTGGCTTTATGACACATTTGTTTGTGTTCTTGTTTTTAATGTCTTCTTACAGACTGCACTGCTAAAAACCAGAAACATGTCTCAACTTATCTTTGTGAGCAGGTTGGGAGAGAAGGGAAAGCATGACTTTTATAGCCAGACAAAACTGTATTTTAATTCCATCTGAGCTTGCGTTTCCCTATCAATAACACTTAGCTCACAAGGGCATCTTGGGAACAAAACACATCCAAAAACAACTTGCACAGAAAAGATAATGTACAGAATGGGAGAAAATATTTCCAAATCATATCTGACAAAAGATTTGTATCCAGGATATGTAAAGAACTCTTATAGTCAATAACAAAAAGAAAACCATTTTTTTAATGGGCAAAAGGATATAAACAGATATTTTTCATGAAAGACAAACAAATGGTCAACAGTCACATAAAAAGATGCTCAGGCTCCCTAGCCTTTTGGAAAAAGCAAATCAGTCCAATGACCATTCTGTGCAACTCGTCAGGCATTGTCCTGGGTTCCCCGTTTTGTTTTAAGGAGAATAATCAGAGATCTTGATGTCCTGCAGCTGAAGAAGGATGGCCTTAAATCCCTCGCAGCAGGACTCACTTAGGTAGCTTTCAAACAGTACAGTACATCTACGAAAGAAGTCATGACACCTATATCCTAAATCTGAAAAGGAGATGGAAAAACTTCTGCCATTATTGCCACTGAAGATTCAGCTGATGTCAATGTCTTTTCCTCCAGGAATACTGGCCAGTGGGCTGTGCTGATGTTGGCTACTCTCGCTGGGGTCACTCCTATTGGTGGACATTTCCCTTCTGGAGCTTCACTATGGATTCAGACAGCCATCCAAAAGCTGCATCTGCCGGTGGTTGCCACAGGGCTGAGCACCAGCCTCTCCCAGAGGCGTCTTCTGCGAACCTGCCTACCACTGCTCTGTGCTACACAGATTCTCCTTGGTGCTGTGGTGGATGCTGCTGCCCCTTGTGACAGGGAGCTCACTCAGCAGGCCTGACATGATGGCTGCTGGCCCAGGAAGTGCTGGGCATGCTGGAGGGCACTTCCTGTGAGTAGCCATGGCAGCTCACGGCCAATCTCTACGTCTGCAGGGATCCTTAACGAAACTGTAAAGGAGACGTAAACTGCTCCTGATGAGGCTGCAAGCAAGGAGAACGGTTAGGGCCGATGGACTACTCCAGCTCCTGAGTTTTCCACTGTTCCACCTGAGGGTGCAGGCTGGTCTGAAGGCATGCAAGTAGTCTGTGCCAGTGCAATAGTTCTGTCCTGTGATTTAGCATGCTCCACTGGTCACCAAATGCTGGACTGAGGTTCCCACTGTTCAGGCCACACAGGATAGGAACAACCACTGTGGTTTGAAGGTCTTCCCTTACAGGCTTTTTGAACAGAAAACAGAAATAAGGTTAATGGAGAAAAAAACAGTTTCTTAAACACAGTGAAGTACTACTTCCTATCCACTATGACAGCTAAACTCAAAAGGACAGATGATGAAAACTGTTAGCAAACATGGAAAGAAATTGGAGCCCTCATTTATTGCAGGTGGAAATATAAGATGGTGCTATCATGTTGCAAAAACAGTTTGGCAGATCTTCAAAATGTTAAGTACAGACTTACCATATGACCCAGCAATTCTGTTCTTAGGTATCTATCCAAGAGAAATGAAAACATACGTCTACACAAAAACTGGTATGTGAGTGTTCATAGTGGCATTATGAGTAACAATAGCCAAAAATGCAAACAGTCAAATTTTTAACCTATGAATAACCACAATGGTATAAGCATACAATGGAATATTAGTTGGCCATTAAAAAGGAATGAAGTACTAACAAAGCTGATACATGGAAAAAGCTTAAAAACACTGTGAAAATCAAAGAAGTTGATCATGAACACCACATATTGTATGATTCCTTCATATTGTGCAATATGAAACCGCACAATAGACAAATCCATAGTTATGAAAATTAGAGTAGGGTCGGGGAGATGGCTCAGTGGAATAAGCACTTCCCTGGCAAGTGCAAGGGCTTGAGTTCAATCCCCAGTTCCGCAAAAAAAAAAAAAGAAAGAAAGAAAAAGAAAAGAAATTAAAAAAAAAGAAAGAAAATTAGAGTAGTAGTGTCAGGGCCTGGTGCATGGCAGAAAGTAGAGTGAGTGCTAGTGGGTATGGAGCTTACTGGGGGGGATAGAAATGTCCTCAAATTGGACTGAGGTGACGGTCGCACAGCCCTGCTCACACCCTAATGACTACTGAACCGTGTGCTTTAAGCGGTTATATGAATTATGCCTCAATATACTTGGGCTTCAAAAAGTCACTTTGCACAGAACTAGAACACAGCAACAAGCACAATATCAGGAGTGAACACTGCTATGGTACCTCCCATGTGCCAGGCCCTTTACATACAAGAACTGATGGAATTCCTAGGACAAGACTATGAGGCGGGCGTTGTTGTTACCTCCATGTTACAGGCGAAGAAAGTGCAACAGAGAGGTTGAATGCTGTCCCCAGGAGCACACAGAGGCAGTCAGGACACTCAGCTGTCTCCTTCTTATTACTCCATATATTTTCCTTTGCACGAAATAGACACTCTGTAAATGTGAAAGTAATATATTCATCGAATATTTATATTCACCCAGCAAACATTTGCAGAGAATTATTCATATCCTAGGCAACACCTGAATTCCTATCCTTATTCCTGCTTCTACCACTCAGATTCCCCTGGGGTTGAAGGCAGATAGGTACTCAGATTCATTCACAAAATCTCTACTGCGTGTCCACTATATGCCAAGCAGTGCTCTAAGCACTGAAGGGTACAGCAGTGAACAAAATAGATAATTCCTAACCTTATAGTCTTGACTTCCAATGGGAGAGGGAGACAAGAAACAAATGAAATGTGTGCAGCTTCTTGGAGGGTGTCCTGGCTGAAGAGTGCCCCTCCCAGCCCATGTCCACATACTACCTATGAGCATGACCTTATTTTGGCAGTAAGTGCTTTTGCAGATGTAATCAAGTTAAGAGGAAGTTATATTCGATTAGCATGGGTCCTAATTCAATGACTGATCCTATGACTGATCCTAATCCAATGGATTAGTCTTCTTATAAAAAGCCTGAAAATTGAACCCAGAAACACATAAGACAGAAGCAGAGAATGGAGTGATGTATCTATAAGCCAAACAATTCCAAAGACTGCAGCGGCCACCAGACGCTGGAAGAAACAGGGGATGATTCTTTCCTAGAGCCTTCAGGGGAGGCCCCAGAAACACCTTGATTTGGGCCTCCTAACTCCTAGCACAGAAAGAGACTTGACTTCAGTTGCTGTCAGCCACTCAGTTTGTGGTGTGTAGTTGCAGGAGCCCTAGCAGTCTAATATAGTTGCAGACAGGTGCTCTGGGGAAAGACAAGACAGCAAAGGACGATGGGGTGCCCGAGGTGAATGAGATATAGCATACACCCTCGGGGAGCTCCCACCCTAGTGACAGAGCCACAACTATAATAAGTCACAAACATGACTAACAAGGGAGAATATGGGAAACACACCTACACAAAAACTGGTATGTGAGTGTTCAGAGTGGCATTATGAGTAACGACAATAGCCAGAATGGAAACGATCAAATGTTTAACCTATGAATAGATAACCACAATGGTATAACCACATAATAGAATATTATTTAGCCATTAAAAAGGAATGAAGTGCTGATACATGGCAAAAGCTTAAAAACACTCTGCAAATGAAAGAAATTAATCATAAAAGACCACATATTGTATAATATGGGGCCCAAGGCTCGAGTGCTGACGGGCCT